CAGGGCAGAGACCTGAACCCCAGTCCCAGGTGTATGAGGTGATGGTGCTGACCATTGTCACACCATGTCCCCATTACAAAACAACGATTGCAATATAATTGCAAATTAAGAACCGTATCCTCGCAAAACCAGTGGTTCTATGTAATACTGTAACACTGTAATGAGTTGGTGCCCCATCCTGGGTTGTTCCCTGTCTTGTGCCGATAGCCACCATGATAGACTCCGGACCACTGTGACCCCGAACAGGACAAGCGGTTACAGAAAATGGATGAATGGGCGGACGGATGGATGGGTAGATGGATAATAATGTAACAGTGCAACATTTTTTTAACATTAGCTATGGGCTGTCTAACATAAACTAGTAAATCTTGTTTGTTTTCCGTGTTGGCATCATCTGACATTTATTTTTATCTCTAAAATCAAACAAATGGAAAGACAAATAAATGTGATGAAGCATTCACATTCATTCTTAACCTTGTGAGTAATGTGTACAGAATAGGAGCAGTCCACTCACTGAAAATGAATTAATGTTTTAATTGAATAAAGGAATACAACTATGATACAACAACCTTTTCACTAGGCTGAGATCTGGTAAGCTCTTCCACTATGTCAGTGTTTCCCAACCCAGTCCTCGGGGAACTCCGGCCAGTCCACGTTTTTGCTCCCTCCCAGGTCCCAGCCAATCAGGAACACCGAATACCTGGTACAGGTACCAGCATGGACTGTCTGGGGTTCCCCGAGGACTGGGCTGGGAAACTGCACTATGTCACAGAGAGAAGTGAGAGGCTCAGAAAGAGCTTCTACACTCAAGCCATCACACTACTTAAGTTCAGGTCTACAAAGTACAAATGCAGACCAAGGTTTTGTTTCAACCAACCAGCTGAATACTCTGTGACTGTGACTGTTTATACTCAACTGGTTGGTGAAAACAAAACCTTGGTCCGGATTTTTACTTTCTGGACCTGAACTTTCCACCTCTGTCTGTAATGTATTACTTTTCCGAGTAACTTCCCCAGCACAGTTCATATATCCTACATATCAATGCACCTCACACTTAATTAGAACCGTGTTGCACATCTCCTGCCTATTCATTTAGTGATTCTACAGTGCAACTTTTTCCATCCATCCATCCATTTTCTGTAACTGCTTGTCCAACATTTTTCCCCAGTATAAATATTTGTTGTTCAGCATATCTTTCACCATTTGTGTATATTTATTATCATATTGTTACTTTGAATGTGTTTTTGCTTTCACTATACTTATTATTATTATTATTATACTTATTAAGAGTCGACCACCTTACACTTCACCGCAGGTTATAGTCCGACTATATACTTTGCATGTGACAAAACCCTTGAATCTTCTTCACATCCAACACAATGTTTTACTCACCAAGTGCTGCCTGTATACCTTTCTATTCAAATTCAGTTTTTGACTGGTACATGCCATTTCCCATCTTATAGACAAAAATACTCAAATTAAACTGAAAAATGTTATTGGCTTCCCATCTGGGGTGTTGCCCTGTGTTGTCTGGGATAGGCTTAGACGGGTTTACACATGCCTGAGACCCACGTTAATGCAGTCTCATTCGGAGATGTTACACTTGGTCCTTAACAGACTATATTCAAACTGTACACTATGATGTCATTTGTGGGAAGTGTGGGTTTCGCCATAGAACAGCCTGTGATGACAGACGGCTATAACAATTCCTGCTGGTAGGTATAGTGATATATTATTATGTACTTCAATATCTGAAGGGAGTTTAATCATCTTTTTAACGGGTTAAGAGCTAAGCAGTGTATGCAAGGGCATAACTTGGGTTTTACTGAATTGTTTTGATTATTGGGGGGGGGATTAACCCCCCTCACCCCCCAATCCCGCCATAATTTACGACCATAAGTGTATGCGCCATACATTTGTTCATAAAACAATTAACATATGATTGGTATTAGTGCTAAAGGGTATTTCCAAGACTGATTTAAATGGTTTTCCTTTTTCTCAACTTGTCAGAGTGTATTTGATATAAGAAAGTAGGCTATTTAAAAGAGAATGTGACTTAATATAATCAGTAAAAATCCTCCAGAATTTAATAGCGATTAAACTTTCAAATGTGATCGGATCTGATAAAGACTGATCATTTACTCTTATTACTTATCCTTAAGTATACGGTAAAATAGTTGATGAGCCAACAAAACGCAATACAAACCGTCATGATTGCAACGTGCGCGCAGGACGTGTCTGAACTCCCATCTCGCATTATTATTTTTTTCCGTTTATACCGGATTCGGTAAATATCTCTCAGCATCCTCGGCCGGGGCGTATCCGACGTGAGTCACGCGCCCGAGGGAGCGCGTTTTTAGCGGCGGCCGGCGCGCGGAGGGCGGGGCGCGTGCACGGTGACGTGCGATTCCAACTGTAGGAGTGGGAGCGCTGCGGCTCACACCGGAGTGTCGGCGCTCGGGGACCGGAGTGCCTCCATTTACCCAGATTAAAGCGGGTCCCTGCGCTCGGGGGGGTGAGGACGGCGGCTCGCTCGCTCGGTGCCGTCGCTTCTGAGGCAAACGGAGAGGGCGGGATTTAATTTAATCTTTTTGGGGAAGGTTTTCTTATTCTCCCAAAGCCGCCCCTAAGAAGCACTGAGCACATGGCTGCCTTTTAATTACAAAAACACTTCCCGGGTAATTGATATTTATCAGGAAGACTCGTGTGGTGGCTGCTTATTTTGGACGGTTTTTCAGGGCTCGGCTGTTAATATGGATGAAGAAGACCAAGGTACGCTTGCTCTCTATCCATCTCACTACTAGCTGCTCTTCTGGGTCGTTATGTTGGAATAATCTGCGCGCGACACAGAGAAATATATTACCGGAATAAAAACACAATTTATTTTGAGAGAATTCTGAATCTGAATAGCCCTTTCATCAAATAAAACTGATAAAATGATATTTCTGTTTGACGTTTACTGTCAGTCACTGTGGCCGCGTTAGTGGTAGGGATAATTCCATGACAACTGGTATCATTATAGGGAATTAATATGTCTACAGTATGTACTTTACAGCGGTATTTGAAAATATGTACCGCAGTTCAAAGTAATATCATGATACTGAAATGTAATCCCCGGGGTCTGAGTATTTATGTTATTTAATGGGAGGAAAATATATGATTCTGTATTGAGCTATGTGGTTTAGTGGTTCTACCATCTTAAACAGTCGCATGCAGGATGATTTGTTAATATAAAATAAGTTTGGGAGATTTCGTTTTTTCGGGATTGTATACGCCCCCCAAAGATAATTCTGCGCAAAGAAAAGTTTTTTGAGGGTTTAGAGCTTATGATTCGGTGTGTATGTACTGTCGCTGGTCGATCGGCTGAACTCCAGGACTGAATGTATTGCAGATCTAGACAAATTTTTGCTTTGCTTGGCTGTAAAAGTGGATCGATCAGCTTTTGCATTTCTCTCTTGAGGGCAGAGAGCATACGAGTCACCGATAGTTTGAACTTGGGTTTGACGAAAAAATAGGTTTTTTGATAACACAATAAATTCTGCATGGATAATTCCACTTCATGTGGCGTCTACTCATTTTCACGGAGGCAAGCGATTCTTCGTAGAAATTAATTATCTTTACTGAAATGAAGTTGTGGCGTGTCGTGTGGAAGAAGGTCAGCTCGTTGGGGGATGTGTCCTGCCATGTAAACAACTCTTATCGATCCGTAGGTCAATAACACATTGGTACCAGACTGCCGTTTGTCGTGCTGTGAATTTAAGCACTTCCAGTGGTCCAGTTGTACGGTTCCGAATTTCTGAAACATGAGCAGATAAATATCCCGCTTAAGTATTACAAGGTGTTCTGTGAACTTAGTGACCTATATATGCACCAATTTAGTGGTTTTAAGACTATTGAACATGCATATAGACACGGGATCATAGGTGTTTATGTGTCGCGTATTAGAAAAACTATAGTTACTACTGAATTAATCATTCATAGTATAAAACAATTGGCAACTGAAATTTGAGGTTCTGCCGTGCAACGTAAAAATGATACAATTTTCTGCTAAGTTTTTTTATGTAGTCTCTTTATACTGTGCGGTGTACGTGGGGGTGGGGGGGGCGACTGTAAAAAGCAAAGGTCTAAATAGAGACATCTGTCATATTTAGACGGTATTACCGTGGTATGCGAGGCGAGTCCCGGCTCCATAGCAAGGACAGTCAGGGATCCCTGCTAACTAAAGCTTTCGGCCACTGTTAGGTTTTGACCAGCTAACCCAATACGGGCGGATGACTTTCATCTGCACATCGGGATGGTGGAGGTGTGTACTACTTCTCCCTGCGGCACAGAGTTGTCGCTAAGGGACTTCCAGTGACACACAGTCACACACTCCCACCCCAACTGATAGCCTTTCTTACATCCCCGCCCCACACACACACCTTACGGAAAGGGAGGAGCTTGGATGCATGGAGGGTCTGGGGTACATAAGAGGACACGGATCAAACTTTCTGGAAGGACAGGATTGTCCCAGGGAAAGTTTACTTCTGAGGCACCCAGTGCGTTGGCTGTACATTTGTTTGTTTGTTTAAATTTATTGAAAGACTAGATCTGGGGCTCCTTTCTGCTTTGTCATCCAACACAATGTTTTACTCACCAAGTGTTGCCTGTATACTTTTCTATTCAAATTCAGTTTTTGACTGGTACATGCCATGCATTCTGAGAATTTGACACTCTTCAACGGAATTCATGCTCTGGGTCCAGTTTTTTTGTTAGCAATGCCTAGGTTGACCAGATAATCTATGTCAGGGAGAACATTGGGAGCTAGGACAGGAATTGTAAATTACCATTTCAATTAAAAGGACCTGGATTTCACTTGAGCACTGAGTTCTTGCTGCGTGCTGATTGGTCAGCATCCTATAATCATGCATGTGTCACTAATGCTAATGTGAAGCAGCTGGATGAGTCTTTCAGTCAAGGAAACAAACCAGTCAAAGCAAAAGAAGAGCTGATCTATTTAGCCGAGCACAGGAGCCTTTCGGTTTGGAAGTAGTTTGTAAAACCCGAAGTAGCTCAAAGTGTCCTCCTTGACATGGATTATCTGGTCACCCTAGCAATGCCAGTACTTCAAGCCCGAACCCCTGTTTCTGAGCGGGGCTCAGTGAGTGATTCAGCCATAAGCCTTCATCCGTATGGAACCACACTGACAGTTGCCCTGTCCTCAAATTGTTTGATGAAGATCCTGTAATATTTTCATGTGTAAATACATTGTATATGAACCGCTCAAGCTGTCAAGTGTTTGACATTGTATTGAGTCATTATTTACTTTTGTAGTTCTTACATGGAAGGTGTTAGTGCAGTGTGGGATTTAAATTCCAGTTTATTGTGCAGTGTGCGTTACATTTTTACTTATTTTTCAGTAGTTAGGAATGTTACTGTCCCTTTAAAATTTAAACATAACCCAATTTGCCCTGGGGAGGGTTCAGTTTGAGCTGGAGTTCAACCATTATGACAAGGGCTGTCAGAGGTGACTTTGTTTATATATGAATGTCTGTTGACTGATGTGTGCTGCTAGAAATTATTCACCAAGCCTCGTTGGTATACATGTGTGTTCCATCTGTATCAGTAAGGTTACTTCAGATACCCCCACTCTGGGTCTACAGAACACCCTTATGTTTTTCCCAGAAGTGCTGCAGTTAAAACTCATGAACTGGCCTTAGGTAAAATTCTTGTTTTTAGTAATTTCCCCTTATCCGTTTTTGAATCTCGTAGGGCTGGTAGTTCTGCAGAATGTGAATAGGGGTCCCAACATTAGGAAAAAAAAAGGTTTCTCTGGCTTAAGTTTCTGGATATGTTATATTTGTGAAAAATTTGCAGCCTTGTGTTTTCTCATACTTTGTCTTGCATTGATGTTGTACCTGTGCCCTTTCATTGAGCATGTTTGTGACAGCAATTTCCCCTTCGGATCTATGGAGTATGGTTATCTATCCATCTCTGATTAATAGCTGTTGAATAGATTGTTCCACACCTAAAATCAAGACATGAATGTGTTGCAAAGAGCAGGAATTAATTGAAATTATTCAGGACATTTTTTTCCCCAATAACTGCGTCACAAGCTTCACTTGGGCAGATTGAAGAGGAGGAGGCAGCCACATTGAAATGAAAGTTTTATCGCTGCAGTGTTTGATGTTGCGTTCTGGGCTCAAATTAGAGATCCCAGCTGTATTGGTGTGGGGCAACATCATGTACCCCTGCCTGCTAATGAGTTTCAGCAGATCAGAGTTTGTGTCCCCTGATCAAGGTTGTCCCCCCACACCCAGGATACTCACAATTGTCCATAGACTCTGTTCAGCCAGTTTGGAGGATTTTCAGTTTTTCTCTGACACACTTATTCGTGCCATGAACTAGGCGCACATGGGTTCTCACTGATAAGTGAAATTGTGAACGCCATGTTGGTATACTAGCTAGCACTATATCAATTATGCGATTAATCTTTAAATCGCATTTCAGTTATTCACAATTTTCCATCAAATTGAATTGTTAGTTTACAGCAGTACTGTTTAACACCAGTAGTAGAGTCTAACGTTTTATTTTACCAACATTCTTTCAATATGCTGTTTATGTAGCCTATGCTACGTGCACTGCAGTGCAAAAAAGGTAGAAGTGTGGCCTTTATGTATGCATGAAGAAAGGCATAGTTTATGCATCTGGGAATTGAAGTATGCAATGACTTTATTCAAGATATTGACTTATCCTAGATAGTTTAAGGCCCTTAATGCCTGCTAATTAAATTTGACCTATTTTGAATTTAAGTAGTTCCATTATTTCAGTATTGGAGTGTCAAATGTCAGGATACTATGGTTATAACGTGATGCATAATACATTGAATTATGATGAGTATTGTATCGGGGCTAGTTAGCAATACCCAGCCTTAATACTAGCTAATTTAAAAAAAAAAAACAAAAAAAAACATTGTCTTATAAAACGGTGGCACTTATTGCGAGTACCCAGATATCAAACTGCAACGCACAGGAGACTTTATCTTGTTATACAAAATATGTTGGAAATAAATAAAGCAGTTGAGCTAATTAGATGGTTTTTCACAGACTGATGTCTGCCTTGAGGGGGTGAATGACAACTGTCAAACTGAAGGGCGAGGCACATGGCTGACTTTTGCACTATCCAGCCCATTCTTCTCCTTTACGCTCTGGTAGTATGGCTTTTGACAGAGGCGGTCATGCCTCAGTGTGAATAAATACATCTTTGTTTGGAGTTCACTGGGTGCAGGGAAAGCACTTCTCGTCATGTGTGTTATTGACAGAACATCTTGTGGCTGTTGGGGTGCAGGGAGAAACAATTAGCGTTCGTCAGGAAATGTGAGAAGAAATAGAATTTGTTAAAAAAACAAAAAGAAGAAAAAGAATTGGTCAGTGTAATGTAGGGTTATAAGGGGCTGTGCGGCAGTTCATTGTTCATGCTCGTGTGACACCGGGTCATGGCAGATTGTGAGACCACATGGGTCTTGGGCAAAACTTGTGCAGTACCAGATCAATCAGATGAACCTAGCTGGCCACCTATTAAAAATTCTTCATTAATATATTTGAATGCCATGTATTTATTATTTTTTATGTAAAAATGAACTGTGTTCTGTTTTAAATACAAGTGTCCAGTGAAATAAAGAATAAAATCCTATTTGTTTCACCACTGCTGTGTTATAATACGTGTACACTTGGGTATCTGTCAACCAAATTCAGTGTTATTTATAAATTTAAAAAAATTATGGCTCATAGCTCTTATCAATGTGTTCCGCACATTTAGATATGCATATGTATGCACTGTCTGTCTACGTGCAAGGGGTGTGCGATCAGCACCCAGCAGAGCACCCTGCCTGCACTCAGAGGATGAGAGCCAAGCGGCAGTCTGGCTCAGGAAACAGCAGCCGTCCCCATGCATCACAGCCCCGGGCAGACGGCCATGTGGGGAAGCCGTGGGAGGCACGCGGGTCTCCGGTGTTTCTCATTAAAGACTGAAGTTGAAGAGGACAGATGCTTCTATGCTTTTCAAGGCCATTGGGTAGCAGGACTCCACCGATTCCATAGGCTAAGCTGAAGATACACTTTGTGGACGGCAGCTGGTTTTCTGTGATAAGCGAACCAGCGGAGAGCAAAGTTCAGACCCTCTAAGGCACATTGGGTTGGTTATGTGGGGGAGGGGGGAGTCCTTTTCCAGACTTTCTTAGTTCAAATACACCTGAACCAAGAATACTGACAGAAAAGAATGCTGGGGAACTTGTTTAAAGATATTTAAGGTATGTTTGCTGAATGTAAATAGATGAGTCTTAATAGGCAGCTGGACCATTAACCGTGGATGGGTAGGCATATCAGTGTTGATAGGTGTGTTACTTGGAACAACCCTGCTTGCTATGTTTTGTGTTGTGAGTTTTGGAACTGGAGGTTGCAATGAAAAAAGTTTTTTTTTTTTTTTCAATTTGTGAAGTTTCCAAGTGTTAACAATGAACAGCTTACACAAACACTTCTGGGTTTGAAGGTAGACAGCTCCTTGGTTTCCGTCTTACCTTTTTTTATTAGGTTGTGGCCCGAAATGGCTTAACACACTCTGTCTACACAAGCTACAAAAGATGAATGTCAATGACATTTATCGCATTTGCAAGAAGACAAGCAAGACAGCATTCTGTCTACATTCTAATTGCTACATTCCACATATCACTTTACTACATCACGTTGAATGTTGTATTATATGTTGTTAGATATATATATGTTTTTATCTCATAGTTAGTATTTTGTACTTAGTATGTTTTTTTAGTATTGTAACGTCCTGTTAATTGTCTGTAGTATGTGTAGAGGGCATTCAAGTAAGAAATTCATTGTACTATGTACATATGACATAAAAAATTTGAATCTTGAAAACCATCCAGCAAGCTGGAAAAGTCTTCTAATTGTATGTATTATCATATATACACAGTTACGAAGATAAGAAAATGAAGCAAGCTAACTTAAATAAGGCTAACAACATTCTAGCTGCCCAACAGGAACCACAAGTCAATAATGTGTGAAATGAAAGCATTTCTTGTGGTTAGGATTTAGTGTCAAATAGAGACAGGCTGTCAAGGCAGGTCAGCATGCAAGCCTTGTGCTACAGATACGAGTCAACTGCCACCCACATTAATAAAAGGGAGGAAACCGTCTAACATTCACCTTGTTTAAGCTACAATTAAGCCTCAAGCCAGATGTCTAAATTTGATTTACTACTTCTAACAAAGTTAGCAAGTATAGTGGGCTTTGCTGGAAAACTTACATTCTGGACTGAAATTTAGTTAATCCTACAGAATTAGGAATAACTGCGGAAAACACAAATTTGTCCTTTTCTGAGGATAAGCGATTCATATGTTCCACCACAGAGACTAGAATTCACACATTCTATGTTTACAAACCACTGCTTTTTAAAACTGCCATTAAATTTTTATTGGCATAGTATTATGTGGACACCTGCACCAAAGGTAATTGCTTGTACACCTGGTACTTGTATTGGTAGATTCTGATTATGATTTTGAAGATGCTGTACACAGAGGAACACAACAGTTCTCGGAATAGTTTTTTTCTTGCCTATGAAAAATGTTCTGTTTTCAATATCTTCCAGTCAATTGTTTGGGGGAAAAAAATCTAATGGTACTTTACTACCAAATATAAACAGGTAGAAATGCTGCAGTAGCTGCATTTTTAAATGGAAATAAATCACAGCGCTAAGTGCAAGTAGGCCATTAAAGGCTAATTTTGCATTGTTTATTTTCACGAGGCGCACATTTGCTTGCTCACGCTGTAGCCTAATTGCTCTTCTCTATATGCAGCTCTAACGATGTACTTCACACTGTACGAAATGAGTTCATGTATGCGTGAAGTGTTTGTGGTGTGTTAATCTCTATCTGCATTGGGTGCTGTCACTTTACAGCCACAGGTCAGGCTCCACCCATTCTGTATTCCCTGTTATGTTTTCTCACGTGGTTTGTGTGCCCCATGTCTACAAATTAGGTGTAACCCCCCCCACCACCACCTATGTGCACTTGGTGTCAGTGCAGCTAGGAGAAAATTAGCAGCAGGGGCAGGAAACGCTAGGGAAAACTCTGGCAGCCTAAGCTACGCTGCTGCACGTGATCTACACCAGACATGGAGAGCAGATCAGTACTGCTGCTGGCAGGATCGCTGGGACGTCCTTTAGCAGCCGGGTCAGCAGCTGTGCGAGCTTGTAAACAAATGCATCGGAAATCCCCACCCCCAGTTCGTTTTGATGTGGATTGCTTGCTCTTGTGTGAGCAGATGTACACAGCCATAGAGAACATGTGTGGACCTTGAATGGTTTCGTTAGCGTTGGGACTTTATATCTTCATTTCCTGCCCGTTCTCAGGGTCAAAACTGAGGAGTGTAGATGATCACCAGACCACAATACAGCTGACCCTGAGTTATTGACGGCTATTTTCCATACACTCTTGTTTGTCCTGTCATTGTATCAGTTCGATTTGCACGTTTTGCAGGCTCTTTGTATCTGAATTTTTACTTGAATGCCGACTAATGACAGAGCCATGAAATATGTTACAGGGTCCTGAGGGAAAAGCTTTCAAGAAATATTTTAATACACATCCATCCATTCATCCATCCATCCATCATACCGCTTATTCTATGCAGGGTTGTGGGCAGCCATAGATATATATTTTTGGAAATAACTGAATGTGTTAATGCAGGCAGTGTGTTTGTGATAGTTGCCTGGACATTACCGGAGGAAGGTCCAGTTTAGTCCCAGTTACAGAGCACTGGAGTACCAGTGACCTTGCTTATGACTGATTAATTACCATCTCTCTTCCTTTCTCTGGCACGGTGGTTTTTGGGCCCGTGCTGTGCATTAGTACCCTGGCTTGAGATATGCCGTGAGATATGCTGTATTCATCAGTATAATTTAATCATATTGGATGGAGAAAGAGATTCAATTAAGATTTTCTTATTGTTGGTTTTGCAGGCCTGTTTACAGTTGTAGGATAGAACGCATAATTAAGCTGCACGAGCGCTAACTACCTGCCAGTGTGCCTACATATTTGTCCTTAGACTATTCCTCTTCCCAGAAAGCAATTACAGGCATAATGTGGGTGTTCCTGGTTTACTAATTTAATCTGCTCTTAACAATGCACTCAGGCATTGTGTTTGCACATTAGCAGCAAAATAGCCCGTCGTCCGTGCCAATATACAATTACTTAGCATGTTGCTTCCTTGTGTGCTTGCAAACACACAGTGGGTTTGTCACTGTGTTCACTGGAGACAGTTTCGATATTCTTTGAGAACTGTAGCAGGTCTGCACTGTGTATATTGACACTGGTTTCTGCTGGGGAGAAGCCAATTGGCCCTTTGAGTTGAGACCCTTGGGAGCTTCTTTTGACTAGAATATCCTTTCACCTGTGAGAACGCTGTTCACAGAAATGCTCTCAATGTCGCCTCAGGTTATCTAACGTTAATAGAATGCTTGAATCAGTACAGAAGATAATGATTAGATTACCTTAAAACTGACCAGTGAATACCCTTAGCGAAAGTAGTGCAAATCCCCTTGAGGTCAGCAAATCACTCATTTCTGCCAAAATGACTTGTTAGTGACCTACTGGTATTGTTTAGTTGCCGGAGGATTATTTTCTCATTTGTAATTCTGTGTTCACAGGAGCAGTTTTGACATACTTTTCCTAGACTGAGTGTACCTTTGGTGCCTTTTAGTTATTTCTGTTCTACATTAATAAGTGAATGATGAATCGCAAAGCAGGTTTTTGGAGCACAGTTTCTTTTATGGAAGAAATCCAGAGCAGAACGTTTTGTGATGGCACCATCCCTGGCATGATGCTGCGTCCTGTCGGCCGCCAGGGCTTCTGGAAGACCTTCCAGACTGTAGCATTGGTGTGTGTCCTAATAAAAACAATTACTTTGCGTTGAGGAGCTTTTGTAAAATATTTTTCCAATTCCTCTGTAAACCAGACCCCCACATCCCTACAGTACTGTCTACCACGCCTCTTTCAGCATAGATACTATTGTTGGCTCTTGAGTCAAAGGCAAGTTCTCGATTTTACAGATAGTACCAAATGCTTTTGTATGGCTTTTTTAAATATAATTTTTCCTTGTGGGGGAAGGAGCCTCATTCTCCATTGTTCCCATTAATGTAATGATAATGCTGATATGATTTGTTTATGCATTTTGGATGATTCTTATCAGACTGATGAAGAACGTGGTGGCACCTGGGCCATGCTTGATGATGGCTGTGCCCCTTTATGCAAACTCTGATACCTGATGCTCTTTGCAGTTCCTGCTGATTTGTCCATGGGAGAAAAAGACGAGCTGTTGAGCATCCGGCGTAGGAAAAAGGAACTGTTGGATGACATTGAGGTACTGTGCCTTTAAGTGACGCTCCTGTTTAAAACTGCCTGTCACCTACAGTAGGCATGATTGTGAACATCAGTACTTTCATTTCCCCTATAGAGGATTTTCATCTATACTTTAAACACATTGTTTTAATTGCCACAGGGGCAAATGCTGCCTTTGTATAGCTTGACACCTCCACAGTGCAAACTGTCCTTCTGAATCATCCTCTAATTGTAATTGATGTTATTTGTGATTAACTACAAAGACTTATCCCCCGCTTTGTTATTTTTACAGCGGCTGAAGTTTGAAATTGCTGAAGTTATGAGTGAAATCGAACAGCTAACAAATGTGGGTGAGAGGTGAGTGTAGAATACCCATAATCCCCGTCGTCAAACCCAGGTCGTGGAAGGGCCCCTAGGCTGTGTGAATGGCTGCTGAAAGACCAGCATAAAAACACTTACTGTGGCTGTGGAGCCCTTTGCTCATGCTGGTTTTCTTTAGCTGTGCACCTGCCTCAGGGAGCTAATGTGTGTCCCTGTGTCTCAGGCCAGCTGGCTGGGCTGCAGTGGCCAAACACACACACTTAACTATCACACCTAGATAATTGTTTCCCAGTCCGGTCCTCGGCGGCCCACAGCCAGTCCATGTTTTTGCTGCCTCTGAGCTCCCCGCCAAATAGGCCACGTTTTTGCGGCTCCATTTTTGCTGGGAGGGAGCAAAAACAAGGACCGTCTGCAGGGTCCCCATGGACTGGATTGGGAAACACTGACCTAGATGATCCGCAGAAAAAAGGGGAAAAACATGACTGTGAGACCGACATGTGCCCTCAGGTGGTGATTAAAACCAGCCTCTGCTCTCTGAAGTGAACCGTTTGTTTACCACACAACCTGCCCTGTGGTCGCGACATCATGTCTGCCACCTTAGCAGCCATGAAGAGGGACAAATCAAACCTGTTTAACCCAAACATTCCAGCTTGAAAGGTCATAAATCATGTGGTCTACTGTGTGCATCTAACACGGTAGCCCGGTTAAGCACTTATTGACACGTTGGATTCATGTAAATGATGTGACGTTGCAGCAAAACTTCGCAGAGAAACAAGCAAATTACCATGGGAAGGAAGAAGTTTAACATGGACCCTAAAAAGGTAAGTGTGCAGTATTTGAATGGAACGTGCATCTGCCCTAGACAACGTATTGCAGTATATTTCAGAGCCATGTAATGTTCATTTTCACGGCTCGTTTCGGATTCATGCCGCTCATCGAGTTCCCTCCTGTCGTAGGGAATCCAGTTCCTCCTGGAGAATGAGCTGCTACTCCACACACCAGAGAGCATCGCGCAGTTCCTCTATAAGGGGGAGGGCCTCAACAAGACTGTCATTGGCGAGTACCTGGGGGAGAGGTGAGCCCAGAATGCCCCTTCACATCTTTCTACATAGCAAACCC